GTTTTATACTTACCTAGTCCATGGAGATGGCTGTCACTACTCTCATTCCCTAGTTGGTTCTTTTGGAGTTTGGAATCAGGTGATGGTAGTTTGATTCCTACACCTGCCCGTGATGAACCTGCAGTCTTAGGTATTTCAGTCACCCTTTCTGCAGCTTGGTTTTGTTTTCTGGAAAGTGAGCATTCTTCATCCACAAGGATACTTCTCTCCTTTCTTCATGACCACTAGTAATTTCTGTCACTTCTCCAGGTCTGAGGGGTCAGAGTTGTCAACTCTGTGAATCAGGGCTAGCCACATAGCTTGCAGTACCTGGTGCAAAGTACAGATATGGCCCCCTTGGTCAACACATGTTAAGTATTTCAAGATGGCAACAGTAGAGCTTTACTGAGAGCAGAGCATCTGAGAGAGAGACCAAGTGTTTCTGTACAGGTGACACGCTCTCTCTGGGGAACCTGCTGGGAACTTGGAGATCTTTTGGGTTCAAGATTGGGGCTTAAAACCATTCTCCAGCAACAAGTCCAGGGCACAGTCTCACATTTCACTTCCTCTGGGAGGAGAAGCCCTGATTCCTAGATAGGAAGCACAGGGCAGATTTCAAATTCTCCTAGGCAGTATCCATAAATTCAAACATTGGCTCTGCTAGTCAGTGGTTTTGTAACCTTGGGCATATACTGTCCCTAAGCTTCTACTTTCCTACTTTTAAGAATGAGAATGATGGAGCCAGCATTCTGGTGTAGCAGGTAAAGCTGCTGCCTGACATGCTAGCATATGGGCACCATGTGGGCACCAGTCCATGTCCCGACTGCACCAATTCCAATCAAACTCCCTTTTAATGGCCTGGAAAAGCAGCAGAAGATGGCCTAAGTGCTAAGGCCCCTGCCACCCAGGAGGGAGACTCTGATGAGGCTCCTGGCTTAGGCCTGGTTCACTGGAAAGTGAACCAGAAAATGGAAGATCTCTCCATCTGTGTGTGTGTGTGTGTGTGTGTGTGTGTTTTCTCCCTCTCTGTAACTCTGATTTTCAAATAAATAAATTAATAAATAGGAATGTGATAAATCAATATTGCAGAAGGGTTGCAAGCAATAAATGAAAATATCCTACCAGGAGTGTAAGGGGCACTTAATCACTACTATTTCTTATGATTTTTTTAATATACCCAAGATTCCTTCTGCGTATCTATTCAGAGTATACTTTATACTTGGATTTCCAGACTGAGGCCTCTGGGAATGTCCCTTTGTTACAACAGGAAGCTGAACATAGAATAGATTTCTGACCTACTAATTCCCTGTTGCTGATTTATGCTTATTAGCATGATGTTAGGCTGCACAATTATTATAATTTTCCCACACTTCAGTTCTGCCATTGATGGAAGTAACAGACATGTTGACATGGTGATATTAACGAGATGATGTACTTATGAAACATTCTGAGTTATCGAGGCTGGAGGCATCATAGAAATTATTGTGCATTTTTACTACTGCTTATTGGCCTGGGGTCCCCGCTGTTCTCCCTGGAGGATCCTCTAAGATTTGCCTTGGGAAAAAGTGACTGTTGACATTTGCCCTGCTGGGCTGTAAGATCTTTTAAATATTTGGTTAAGCCATCAGAAGTAACACATGAACTATGCAATAACTGGCTATAGGGTACATACACTACTAACCAGAGAGCGTCACCAGCTCTTCAGAAGGTAGCCTCAGGGTGACACCCAGTAAGACCACACACACCAGTGTAATTCATGTCCAGTACATACACACTAGTGAGTATCATTTGGTTATGGTTCCTTGGTGAGCCATGCTGGCCATTTATACCAGTTGCATTTACAAGGCAAGATGTTATTTGCCTAGGCTTGGCACTTGGAGGGCGAAGATCAAGTCTACCAGAACAACCATTGCTCTGTTGACATTTTACTATTTGTTGTCACCTGTAAAGAATACAGCCTACATGATATGCTTTCACTATCACATAAGGAAAGAGCTAAATGTTGCACAGATCATAGAAAGTGTCAAGTGCAATACATGAAAACCACGGAGACCTGAGGTATTATTCAAACACTAATTGGAAAATATGTTGAATCATCTGGCTGGTTAAAAATAGCAATTTTCACGGTATACAGACTGTCATAAACATTTTAAAGGACACATTTTAACAGATGGTTCTTTTTTATTTAAAAATTTTTACTTAATGAATGCATTTTTACATATATACAACTTTAGAAATATAGTGGTTCTTTTCCTCATACTCCCACCCCCACTCCCATCCCACCTCCCATTCCCTCTCCCATCTCCTTCTTCATTATGGATCATTTTTAGTATGACTTTATATACAGAGGACCAACTCTATGCTAATCATAGATTTCAACAATTTGCCCCCATAACCACACACAACATATAGAGTACAGTTTGGGGAGATAATTTGCAATCGATTCTCATATTACAATTCAATAGGACAGAGGTCCTACCTGGGGAGCAAGTGCACTGTGACTACTGTTGTTCTTTTAACAATTAACACTCTTTTTTTTATGACGTCAGTGATCACAGGGTGGTTCTTTTAAATAGTATTTTTCCTCCAGTTTTTCTTTTCTAGACATTAAAAACTCTTCCTTGTCTTCTTCCCAAAACATCTTTAGGATTTTTGCCAAGTTTCAAATTTAGTAAATATTCCTAGTTTCTTGAGATTTGGTTCAAATAGTAAGACAAAAGAAGGGGCGATCTTTGTACACTGATTCTTGGAGGAAAAAGATCATGGGTTATGCATAAGCAAAACAAGTGTTTTGTTAAGGGCATACTGAGAGGATCCTCCCAAATACAACAGGTAGTAGACTTCTCTTTCCTCACTCACTCCCATAAAGACTGACTCATACATCTCTAGCTAAAGTTCAAAAAAATCCCATTTCGGACTGCATTGGACTCTGGGTACAGAGTTTAACTGGAGGAAAACCCAGGGGAATGACTGTGGTTAGTACTTTTTGTGTCTGGTGGACCAGCCCTGACTTCTTTGGTCAGAGTTCTCCTTCCTTCCTTCCATCTTTCTAGTCAAAGACTTTCTTCCCTATGTTAGCTTACCTTGTTTTCATAGGAAAAAAAAAAAAAAAAACTATGGATGTAGTACTATGAGAGGCGTGTGTGTGTGTGTGTGTGCACTTGTGGGAAAGGATTTTTTTTTTCTTTTGGGAGATAGGGAGTGGCTACTGGAAGCAACCACAGAAACTATGTGGCCAGGGAAAGAACCTATCAGGATACTTTTCAGAATGTGGTTCTCAGTATGTGTTTTCCAGAACCAAAATATCAACACCATTTGGCAGCTCTGTAAGGAATAGAATTTGTTGGGCATAACCACAGACCTAAGGGATTGGAATCCCTGAAGTGGGTACAACAGGCTAGGCTTGATCAAACTTCCCAGGTGATGCTGGTATCACAGAGGTTTAGAACCAGTTCCTTGAAGGACAGCTGGGATACTTGGAGAAAAAAGAGCAGTCCACAAAGAGCCTCAGCTAATGAATCTTCTGAGATGCTATGACCCCTCAGGATCACAGCTGCCGAAGAAACCATTATTAAGTCTTATGTGGTTATGGACTTGTAATTGTATTTCCTTGGGACATAACTATTTTTTTTACGTCAGGGTTTATTTGCCTCAAAGGAATTCTTGTATAAATTATTTTTGCCCTATTCACTGCAAGAAATGAACAAATGTAAGTAGATTTCTAATTTGGTTTTTCATTTAAAATGTCCTTTACCTTTTAAAAAATATACATTGAAACAGTTTGGCTCATTTGATTTTGATTTGTTAAATTGTGCTGAAAAGCTTGGTTTTCCTGCCTCCAGGTTTTGACTACCTGTGGTGTGCTAAGGACTTTCCATTTTGGACATTCTATTTGGCAAAATCAACCACAGAATTCTGAAGAACTTCCAGGAAACTGGAGGCCTCAGTGCAATTTGCATATCGTATAATTCAAGTTTTCACTCAGTCTTTCAATGTAGTTTCCTCTAAAGATAAAAATTGCTATTGCATCAGCAGATTGGTTTTTAAACTATTCCTGTTAAGATAGAGTTTTGCATTTGTTTATTCACTGTAACTGGGAAAATCGGCTTCCCACCTTTCCTTTCTTTCTTTCCTTTTCCTTTTTCTTCCTCTACTCTCCCTCCTTCCTCTCCTCTCTCCTCTCCTTTTCCCTGCCTTGCCCTCCCTTCCCTTCCTTTTCCTTCTCTTCCTTTCCCATCTTATAATTCTCCCTGTTTTATGCCAGAAGTCTTTTGATTTCTTTTTTTTTTTTGAAATCAAATCAAATTATATTAACAAAAGGTCAAGAATTTGGAGAAAGAATAAGACCTGTGGTCAACACACCAAAGACAACAAGAACTCAGCTTCAGCATAGGAGAAACGTGAACTGGAAGGTGAAGCAGTCTCAGGATGTGCCATTGTGAACCATGAGTCTGGGACAGGGTATGCACAAAGCATCCCGAGCTATAGGCTATAAGCAGTGGTTATGGTATGAATGAATTATTGTTTTCTAGGTCATTCTCCTATTTGATGCTTTGGGCTATTTATGTCCCGTTACCAATTAAAAAATAAAAAATGAAAGAAAGTTACAAACACACATATATGTAACATGCTGTGAATCTTTTGGAACAGCATTCTAAGGATTTGGGGGAGGACTTTTGGATATGTAACATTTGGCTTTCCAATCCCCAGACAAGAACATCTATTTATCCAGATTTCTACTGACATCATTTTTGTTGTTTTACTATGTACATTTTTAGGGATTAGCAATGCATTCCCAGGTTTATTTGTTGGTATTTTTTCAGCATCTGAGCGTTTTTCAGGGACTTCTAGCAAACAGTTTAGGATATCTGCTCTAGCATCCTGTCAGATGTAGAGAATGAAGGTAGAACATTTTTACATGCTGTTTTCTCTTTAAGCATGAATGGCCATTTCAAGTTTGTTTTCTCTGCCAACTTGCACATGTATGTTACAAAAACGAAGTACATCTATTTACTTTGTAGGTGGGAAAATGTTAATCCATGAAAGAGCCCATTTTTGCTCAGGAAGAATTGCAAAAAGTATATCTGAAGGAAACTTGGCTGACATGGACTCCCCAAAGCTCTCAAAAAGTTGTGATATTACAGGTACAGCAGTGTATAACTATTGCAATTTTTCATTTAAGTAAATCTATCACCAGTATGCACTGAAAATCTACCTCCAAAGAGTGCTACCAGAGACTAAATGGATTCTGAAGTCACAGCATTATCATAGAAATATTTACAGATTACTAAATAATATATGCAAAGTAAACTAGCACAGCTATAGATTATAATACATATTATAGAGGAAAAGGTTCACTAACAAATGAGTGGTATATGCAGTAAATATAATGATTTTGAAGGTTTAAAGATCTCTGAAGATTGGAATGGCCTACAAAATCTGAAAAATTTAAAGAAAAGTGTGGATTGAGAAAAGTGCCACTTTAATTTTTCACAATGTGCATTTTAATTTTTAATATATATCAGTTATAAATCATTTCACTCAGGATGATGCCACAAAATTCAAGCAAGAAGGACCAAGAATTTGCTTGAATTTTTTTTCTGTACAACTTCTGACAATGTAATTGTCCAGTTTGGCTCTCATTTTCCCAACAGCAGTACCAGCCTCACACAGTCCAGAGAGTCATTCCTAATATTTCCTCAGAAGTGATCCTGGAGGAGTTGCTCTAAACATAAATACATATATACAGAAATACAGAAATTGTTATACTAGAAATATGAATATTTTAATATTTTACTAATTCTTAAAGCAGCCATTTTCCAAAGTAATGTTGCCATTTCTCCAGGTGAGACCAATTCTTTCCACTTGCAAGCTTGAAAAACTCAATAAATTCCTTCAGGCAGTAAATCCAATGGTAATCTATGGCGTCAATGTTCATTTTCATGAAATGTTCATTTTTCATGAAAAAGTCAATATTATTAAAATTATCAATACACATTTATCAAAAAATAATCTATTAATGATGACTGTCTAATTTAGCATAGATTTTCAAAGTTATTTTAGCAGTTTATGGGTATATTTGTTTTTTTCACAAATTAAATATTATCTAAAAAGATACACACTAAAATAATATTCTAGGTGTAATGAGAAAACTATCTTTAGAAATATCTGTAAATTGACTCAAGTGTTCTATTTGTTCAGAAATTTGCTTCTGTGAAAATAAAGCATAAATAAGGCCTAAATGGGTCATTTTCAAATAAATGTGTACAATATATTATTATTTTAAGTGGGTGCGCCTTTATCCCGGTAATTAAGAACTGTTTTGGAGGCGCGCTTCCCATTCTGGGGTGCCTTGCTTTGGACTGGGGCTCCAGCTCCTCACCCCAGTTCCCTGCTAATGCACATCCTGGGAGGCAGCAGTGATATAGCTGAATTCCTGTCACCCACTTGAGAGATCTGAATTGAATTCCTGGCTCTTGGCTTTGGCTCAGTCTCAACCCCACTATTGTAGCCATTTGGGGTATAAACTACCAAATAGGAATTCTCTGTGTGTCTTTCTTTCTGAATCACTGTCAAGTAAACAAATAAAAGATGACTAAAGAAAAATAAAGGGGCAGGGGTGTGTCCCATGATTTGAATTCACCTAAAAATGGAAAAATGGTGTACTGTATTTGAAAATGATATAATTAATATCATTCATCATTTATTAAGGTTATGGTCATGATGTCCTAAGACAAAATATCATTATTTATTGTCAAAATAACCTATAGTAAAATTTCTCTTTCCTCAATATGTTTAAATTTGACCAAATATTTATAGTAGCTAGTGTACTGAAGATCAAAAGGCAAATGAAAAGTAAGACATGGATTTTTAAGCTTTGGGAAAAATTAATTGTGGTTATGTCTCAGTACGACACTTCATCTGCTGTTTATTTCTGTTTCTGTTTAAATACCAAGAATGCCAAGACCCAGGCACACTTCCTGATTGGCCAGTTCCTGTTGCCCTTCAAGACAAGAATGTCTGTAGAGCTACAAATCCATTCTGGAGCAAACTGTCTGCTTCTAACCCATTTTTGGATGACATCACACACCTGAGAAGCAGCCAGAAGAGAGATAATATCTCCATCTTGAAGGAAGACCCCTTTCTCTTTTTTAGAGAAACAGAACCTGAAAATTCTTTTGATTCCTCTGGTGACGAACTCGATGTGCATCGGTTGCTGAAGAAGCCTTCCTGCAGGAGAGCCGGGAGATCGAAAAGTGTTTCAGAACTTCTGGATGTTTTAGATGACACAGTGCACGCTCCTCAGAGTTTAAATAACTCCCACCAGATCCTGGTTCAAGACTTAGAATGGCTGCAAGACGATCGCGAGGCTTACAAGATGGCCTGGTTAAGTCAACGGCAGCTGGCCCGCTCTTGCCTGGATTTGGATACCATCAACCAGAGTCCTGGATGGGCCCAAACACAAGTCGCAGAGACCACTCTGGTGTGCAGATTAACCCACCAAGGGGGGTCAGTGCAGCTGCCTGAATCGGACATCAGCGTCCACGTGCCCCAAGGTCATGTCCCTGCGGGAGAATTCCAAGAGGTGGCTCTCAGGGCTTTCCTGGATCCCCCACAAATTCTTAACCATGGCCTGTCCTGCACTGTGAGCCCACTGCTGGAAATCACGTTAAGCAACCTGAACACGAGAGAAGCCATTTTGTTGGAGATGAAAATTGGGGCTGAAGTAAGGCAAGATCCTCTCAGCCAAGTCATGACCGAAATGGCGTGTTTACGAAGCCTGGCTAAAGAGGGCCCTTTTGACGTGTTAGACAACTGCTACGTGTATAAAGACACCGTCCAAGTGAAGCTCATCAACTTGAGTCAGGTGATGTATCTAGTGGTGGTTGCCCAGACTAAAGCTCTCCAGTCCCCCGCTGCCACCATCTGGGACTATATTCACAAAACCACCTCGATTGGCATCTATGGGCCCAAATACATACATCCCAGTTTCACTGCTGTTTTCACAGTCTGTGGACACAATTACCTGCCAGGAAAGCTTACAATCCCTGACATCAAGAAGGGTGGTAAAAACACATCTCCGGTTGTGTTTCATCTCTGGGGGAAGCATTCCTTCGTTCTTGATAAGCCCCAAGATCTAAGTATTTCTGTTGTTTCGTGTGATCCTGATTTTGAAGTTAAGGTAGAAGGAGAAAAGAAAGAAATCAAAAAAAAGCAGTTGAAAGCAGGTGAAGTAGTTCATCAACAGTTTTTATTTTCTATAGTTGAACCCAGAGAGATGCACTTGTTTGCTTTTCGTGTTCAGTTGGACACACCTGATGGCAGTCCAGTTGCAGAGTTCAGTATTACTACACCTGATCCAGCCCCAAACCTAAAAAGACTCTCAAATATGTCAGCTTATTCACAGAATGAGAAGGAAATCAAGTCTGCTTCTTTATTACCGACAGTGCTTGTTAAATATCCCAAATTTCAAGATAGAAATTTGAATTTTACCAACTATGGGGTAGCCATGAAGACTGTGCTACGACAAATCAAGATTGACTACCTTCTGGAATATTTCAAAGGGGACACAATAGCTCTCCTTGGAGAAGGAAAGATAAAAGCCATTGGACAGTCCAAAGTGAAAGAATGGTATGTGGGAGTCCTCAGAGGGAAGATTGGACTTGTGCATTGCAAAAATGTCAAAGTAATTCCGAAGGAGCAGGTGATGGCTTTATCAGATACTGTCTTTACAACCAAGAATCTTCTTGAACAGATTTCCCTGCCGTTCAAAAAACTGACTTATATCTACTCAGTTGTGTTGACCTTGGTGACGGAAAAAATTTATGACTGGAGAGTTTTAGCTGATGTCCTGGGTTACTCCCATCTGGCACTGGAAGATTTTCATCAAATGCATACAGACAAAGAATCAGAAAAGGTTTCCTGTGTTGTAAAGATGTTAAAGGAAGATTGCCATGAAGAGAGAACTACAAGGAAGTTTCTTTATGAACTCACTGTGGTGAGTATTACTTGTCTACAGTAATTTATTCACCAGTGGGAACTTTATTAACACGATTTCTAAGCAAACATATGAGAGAAAAAATAAGAAAAAAGTAGTCTCAAATAAATTGAAACCATATTACATGCAATATAGAGCTTTTCCTATAAGATAATGTAATTAGCTTGTTTGAATCAAGATTCCATTGTGATTTTCCAAGAAAACAGGCCTCCAAGGATCATCTCGTTAAAGGAAGAGGAAAAGTTCTCTTTGTGCTGATCCTAACAGTTGAGAGATGTCTTCTTTTCCTCTCTTAAATGCTCTGCCAGCTCTTGAAATATCAGAGGCACTGCACTACATGAAAGTAAACACAAGTAAACTTAGAGGCTGGCGCTGTGGTGTAGCGGATTAAGCTGCTGCCTGCAGTGCCGGCGTCCCATATGGGCACCGGTTCAAGTTCCGGCTACTCCACTTCCAATACAGCTCTCTGCCATGACCTGCAAAAGCAGTGGAAGATAGCCCTGCACTCATGTAGGAGACAGGGAAGTAGTTCCAGGCTCCTGGCTTTGGATCAGCATAGCTGTGGTCACTGTGGCCATCTAGGGAGTGAAGCAGTGGATGGAAGATCTCTCTCTCTCTCTCTGCCTCTGCCTCTCTGTAACTCTGCCTTTCAAATAAATAAACACATCTTAAAAAAAAAAAAGAAGAGTAAACTTAAACAAAACTGACAGCTGACAGCCATTGCTAGAAGCCAACTTTCACCTTTTTTTTTTTTTTTGGTTAAAAGTACATAAAATCAGTGTTTCTTTAGCAATTTGTATTCTTCTCCCGTGTGCCGTGCCTCACAACCTAAGCAATGATATTAGATTGTCTTCCTCATCCTCACTTTTTAAAAAGTTTTATTTATTTTATTTGAAAGGCAGAGTTAGAGAGAGAGAGAGGGAGAGGCAGAGAGAGACTCTTTCATCTACTCATTCACTCCCCAAATGCCCACAAACAATGGTTCTAGCCAAATGGAAGCCAGGAGCCAGAAATTCCATCTGGATCTGCCACGTGGGTGTCAGGTTCCAAAGTAATTGAGCCATCATCTTCTACCTCAAGAGCGTGCATTAACTGGAACCAGGATCAGAAGCAACAGGTGGGAGCTGATTGCAGCCCTGGAATCTGGGATGCAGGGGTGCGTAGCAGCAGCTCAACCCACTGCACTACAATGCCCGCCACAACAGAATTCTTTTTCATTAAAGCAGGGAACTGGACAACACAGTGAGAAAACCACTCTGCAATTTACTAAAAGCACCTTCCTGGCCCTGCAGTCTCAGGGTTTCTTCTCACTAAGGTCATACATGTGTGGTATAGATATATGGCTCAGTGTAGTCCATATTTTGTAACCAGAGGTATTCCTTGTAATTATAACTCCTCATGGACTTTAATAATTGCTTTACTTAATCACTTGTATTTGCTTAGTATTTTATATTGGTAGATAAAACTTTTAAGTATTAATTAATGAAGGGGCTGTCAAATACATTTTATTTGAACAGAGAAGAGGTACACCTTGATATCATCATATCATTTAAAAATGTACTTAAGGCAAAACAAGAAGTTACAGACTTCTTTGAAATATGCAAGAAAAGTGGCCAAGTTCAGAAGCCTGATAAAGGCAGAAAGCAAGTGCGATGGCTCTCTGTTTTGCATTGTAGAAAGCTAAGTGTTTTATAGTCACTATCCTGTGGGTTACACTTAGCAGAACTGTGTTATATTTTGACTTCATATTTTACGAACATCAATATCTTTGCTCAACATTGAAGGAACGTTTTGCTTTTGTGCACTAGACATGATTCTGGAAGGTTTTAAATCACATTTTTGGGAGAAATAATGCTTACCATCACCAGTGTGATCACTTGTAGCTGATCCTCTAATAAAGCAAGGAATTATTTTTGTAAATGAATTATCAACCTTGAGTTGATAAATTGTAGACTGTCAGAATCATGGAATACCTTTGGAAGAGTTGACTTCAACTTCCTTTTTACAATGAAAGATTTTAAGACAAATGTTAGTTAAGTGGTTTATCTAAAAATCCTATAATTAGTCACTGAGTTATTCCTAAATATCCCCCAGTTCTGATTTAGCTATGTACCCTGCAGTTGGCATGTTGAATTTGCTTAAAAATAAACAAAATTTTTGGGTTTTAGGAAACTCAATTAGGGGACAGCATTGTGGCACAGTGGGTTAAGGTGTGTCCCTGAAATGCCAACATCCCATAGCTGAGTGCCTGTTTGAGTCCTGGCTGCTCTACTTCCCACCCAGCTCCCCGTTAATGCACGTAGGAAGGCAATAGCAGATGAGCCAATACTTGGATGCCTGCCATCCAGTTGGGAGACCTGAATGGAGTTCCTGGCTGCTGCCTTTGACCTGCTCTACCACCTGCTGAAGCACCCAAGTGGTGCTTCCATTACCTGGAAGATGTCTTTGTACATCTCTCCTTTTCTATCATTCTGCCTTTCAAATAATAAATAAACTTTTTAAAAAAAAAAACTCAATTATATGTGTGGTGAATAAAATGGAACCAAATTCTAGGATACGTAGTAAAATTTTTTTAATTTCTAAGAAAAAGACCAGATTGAGTTGCTTGTAATATGACACATAATTCTTGTGGCAGGCTCTGCTGAAGATGGATTGCCAAGGGCTAGTGGCACATCTTGTCCAAGAGGCTATCCTTCTGACATCAGCTGTCAAGCTTGGAAAGGCCTGGAGGGAACTAGCTGAAAAGTTAGTACGACTCACGAAGCAACAAGTGGAGGCCTACGAAATTCCTCACCGAGGGAAAGCTGGAGACGTGTGTGCGGAGGTAAGGTTTTGGTCTATCAGATTCATTAGTGAAAAGCTGTAGAGCAAATAAAGCTAATGCAATCCAGCCTGAAACCAATCATGGATTAATTAGAGGCGTGCACAAGAAGATCCAATAACTTAAGTCAGTGTCCCTGTAACCCATCAAAACTATCTGAAATAGACATACATCATTAGAAAGCATTGAGAGCCCTTATGATATAATTGTATCAGTATGTATCTGAGTCAGTAAGGAGGTAGGACTAGGAACTTGAGGCATAGAGCAGGTAACTTTTGAAGAGAAGTGGTAAAACCAAGTCAGGACAAGGAAGAAAGATATAATATCAAGTATTTCTCATCCTCAAGTACAGAGCACATCATTTGTGATCATTCATGCTCTGTGATAAGAAACAGTAAGAGAGTGGATGTTGTGGGACCTCTGGCCATGTTACCTTAATTAAAATACCCGAGAGGAGCTACTTAGGAAGGAAGAAGGTTTATTTTATTTTACAGTTTTACAGGTTCACAGTTCAAGATCAGGCTGATATCAGATGAGAGAAAACCATGTGGAGGTGATGATCACATGGCAAACCAGAAAGAAGAGACACACAGAGCACAGTCGTCCTCCATGCCCATGTGTCATTCCCACAAAAAGTCATGGTTTAGTCATGGCCTTCACCCAACAGTCTGATCCAATCCAAGCACTTCCCAATGGCCTCATCTTCAGACACTAAAACTAGATCAGACTTTTACCCTAATCCATCAACCATTAACATGAATCCATTAACATCACACTTCGGGATTTCAGCAGCTTCATGACTTTGGGGAGCCAAATGTTGTTCAAACCTTAATAGAGACATCAAGAGCTTCCTTAGCTCTTTCACCATTCTGCATATAAGAACTATAGACAACATCAGCAGAATGACCACACTTCTTTTTTTTTTTTTGACAGGCAGAGTGGACAGTGAGAGAGAGAGACAGAGAGAAAGGTCTTCCTTTGCCGTTGGTTCACCCTCCAATGGCCGCCGCGGCCGGCGTGCTGCGGCCGGCGCACCGTGCTGATCAGATGGCAGGAGCCAGGAGCCAGGTGCTTTTCCTGGTCTCCCATGGGGTGCAGGGCCCAAGCACCTGGGCCATCCTCCACTGCACTCCCTGGCCACAGCAGAGAGCTGGCCTGGAAGAGGGGCAACCGGGACAGAATCCGGCGCCCCAACCGGGACTAGAACCTGGTGTGCCAGCACCGCTAGGCGGAGGATTAGCCTAGTGAGCCGTGGCGCAGGCCGACCACACTTCTTACAAAGTGAATATTTGCTGTGCAAATGCAGTCTTTTTTTTTTAGACTTATTTTTTGTTTATTTGAAAAACAGAGTGACAGAGAGGGGGAGAGACAGAGCAAGAAAGAGATTTCCCATGTGCCAAATGGCTGCCCGGGTCTGCAAGGGCCTGTGAGGCTGAAGCCAGAAACCTGAAACTCCATCCTGGTTTCCCATGTGGATGGCAGGGGCCCATATATTTGGGTCATCTTCCACTGCTTTCCCAGGTGCACTAGCAGGGCCCTGGATCAGTAGTGGAGCTGTCAGGATTCAAACTGGCACTCCAATGGTATGCTGGCATCATAGGCAGTGGTTTAACCTGCAGTGCCATCATGCCAACGCTGCAAATGCTGTTTTTACCACTATTAAAACATATGTATGCTGTTGGCAGCAGTTAGACAAACTTTTTTTTCAAGATTACAATAAAGAAATGTGAGTACATATTTATTGAGTTAAATAAAATATTGCCTTGATGAGCACATATGAAATGTTCTATCTCTTTGACAAAGGTTTATACATTTTCAAGATATTTAAGTTTAAGAAAATATTTTTCTCTCACATTGGATGGGAGCAGAAGCCATGTTCTCCTCCTCCCTTTTGGGCATCGATTTGGATCTTAATTATTTGAGGAATCTTTGTCTCTTTAAGGCTGCCATTCCACCTGGGCATCCAGGACGAAGCTGTGAAAAGTGGGGTGAAGGCAGGTGAAACCTCAGTGTCTGCTCCCTGGCTTCTGGGTCCCTGGAGCCTGTGTCTCCAGCAAGTGTTCCTCCAGGAGAGCCGCCAGGGACCGAGGACGTAGTTCCCATCGTAGAACAAACACTCTTACCTCCATAAGCGAAGACAGCATCCCACTTGCCAGTGAGCAAAACACAGCAACCAGCACACAAGTGTGAGCTGAAAGACGAGAAGTCTTAGGAGGGGAAAAAGAACGCAGTTGCTAGGGAGGTGCTGCTCTGACTCTTACGTTTCCATTAACTGATGAAAAAGTTGACTGAGTGAAAGCAGAACTTTCTTCCTTTTGCCTTAGCTGGGCTGTTTTTCAAAGTTCATTTGGAGTTATCAGGAGTTGTTTATTCGGTCAGCCTCTTAAGCATCTGGCTTCTCTCTCATTGTGGTTGTTTACAGTTTGTCTTCCCCCAAATCTTGATGGAGACTAACAAACACCCTGCTTTTCCATTGTTTACTTTTGGACAACCCTAAGCATAAATGACTAAGTCTATGCCTGCGGCTGGTAAGTACTCAGAGGCAAAAAGGAAAGCCCCTAGACTGTCTTCCTTGGAGCCATGGTCCCATTTACTGAGATTAACACGAACACGCATCACTCTGATCCATGTTATTAAATACTTCTAAAAATCCAGGCTCAGGGGGCTGGTTCCGTGGATTCCACTGATGCTTCCGACTCTGGCAATGTCAGAGTGCCAGAGTGCCTGTTTTAACCTGGCTTCTGATCCAGCTTCCTGATAATGTGCTTGGGAGGTAGCAAGTGATGCCTCAAGGTCATGGATCCCTGCCACCCATGTGGGAGACCAGGATGGAGTTCCAGGCTCCTGCCTTCAGCCTGGTCCAGCTCTGGTTGTTGCAGCCATTTGGGAGGGCGGGGAAAGGGTGAACCAGCATATGGGAGATATTTCATTGTTCTCTGTCATCCTGCCTTTCAAATAAACAAAATAAATTATTTACAAAAATATAAAATTCCAGTCTCTATCAGACTATAGCCCTTCAAGAGAGCTATAGGAATCTACACCTATGAGGCCACTTCCACAAAAGGGTCAATGAATGCTAATTTACATCACCCTGCAAATAAACATATGGCTATGCAAGTTTTCTTTGGAAGGAGATGATTCTTAAACATAACCAATAAGCTGCATAGCTGACTTCATAGCACACTGAGGTTAGCTTTGGGTGGTGGGTGGAGCACAGGGAGGAAATCACTAATATTTTTTTGTTCTTGTGGCACTGGGTCAGGGAGATGCTATGCCCAGCAGCTCTTGTGCTGCTGTTGTTTTCCTTCCTTCCTTCCTTCCTTCCTTCCTTCCTTCCTTCCTTCCTTCCTTCCTTCCTTCCTTCCTTCCTTCCTTCTTTTTTTCTTTCTTTCTCTCTCTCTCTCTCTTTTTCTCACTTTCTCTCTCTCTTTCTAATATTTTATTTATTTATTTGAGGGGTAGAATTACAGACAGAGAGAGAGAGACAGAGACAGAGACAGAAAGAAAGGTCTTCCTCCCGTTGGTTCACTCCCTAGATGGCCACAGCGGCCAGAGCTGTGCCGATCCGAAGCCAGGAGCCAAGTGCTTCTTCCCGGTCTGCCATGCAGGTGCAGGGGCCCAAGCATTTGAGCCATTTTCTACGGCCACAGCAGAGAGCTAGATTGGAAGAGGAGCAGCCGGGACTAGAACCAGCACCTGTATGGGATGCTGGTGTCTCAGGTGGAGGATTAACCTACTGTGCCATGGTGCTGGCCCCAAGCTATTTTTTTCTGCGCATGCCTTCCTTGGAGGTATCCTGTGCCCACTGCATGTACCAGGGCCTTTGGGCAGGCTCTTGCCTCATTTTCTCTCCTTTTCAACTTCTTTTACTTCCCTTTCTTCTATTTTATTGCGTTACAGACAGTTATGTAGCATTTAGTCCATTCCAAGCACTGCCCTGGGAATATTATAAAAATTAACTTATTTGATCACAGCAAAAGCTCACAGGACAGGCACGAATATTATCTAAGATGTGGGGGTGCTGAGAAACTGGCCTCCCTTGAAAAGAAAGTCATGGAACCAAGAGTAGAGCACAGACCCCCAACTCCATGGTTCCACGTCCTTCAAGCTTTGTGCTCTGCCCACCAAGGCAAAGCCACAGACAATGAGGTGGTCAGGGCTGGGGTCTCCCACAACTCCTTTCACTTTTCCTTTGTTCTCTTTCTTAGCCAGCTTATGGCACTACTGAAAGCGGTCCAGACATCTTTATCATGCCTCAAATTGATTAAAGAAGGGAAGCCATCAATAGTACGTGTGACATGCTTTCCTTGAACACTTGAGTATTTCTTACTCTCTTCTAAAGAGGAGAAAAAGCTTTACTTAGGAGAGTTCTGCGAATGCTGCTTTTTAAGAGGCCATCTCTGTGAATTTTGCTTTTAGGAATATTACTCAACCTCCCTAACAATATCCTACACTAAAGCAAAACTACAAAGCTTGGAACTGATAATAAGCAAAATGGACTTTTCAGGGTGTCCTTTGAAAAACACACACTTATGCTAGACAAATTTTTGTCTGTGAAATATTCATTGAGGGTTTTGGAAAGTATCTAGAAATGTTAATTGAAAAATAGAAATCGGTAAAGTGTAAAGATGTCACTCATTGTTTTCAAGTTGGGTGCTGCTGGGAGAAGCCAGACGTTTCAGAGCTAAGATACTCACAGGTGGCTTTCTTCCTTAGCCTTTGGCACCAGTGATTCCTCTTTCCCCTCTCCACCAGTCTCCTTCCTGATAACAAAGATTGTGCTCTTTCCATCTTCTTCATTAAGACCCTTTTTTCACCAAGGACACTGACTGCTCATTCGTTTTGAAGAATGCCTTAAACCACGGGCTCTACCTCAACCCTGGGCACCCTTAATTCTGCTGGGGATGATTTCTTATCTGACTTATCAGAGCTGACCATGCTCCCCAGGGACATCGCATGAGCTCCACCGTCCTAATAGTGGTATTCTCCTGCCTCAGAAATCT